CCGGACAGAATGCGAGCCCCTCCGCTGGGTAGAACCTGATGGGCAGCCGCAGGGAGGACACAGCCTCAGGGAAGATCAGACCCGAGCAGAACTTCCTCCCAAGAACGAGGGCGCCCTGAAGGCATCCCAGAGAACCCAGGGGATTTTGTTCAGTCACCAGTCACTAGCCGCATTTGCCACGTTCATTCAGGGCTGTCCTCTTTAACAGGGTAACTCAAGTGTGATTAGTTTATACTGAATTTAGCTTTTTTCCAGCGGTTGTCAAAAGGTGTAAAGACAAGGAAAAAAAAAAAAACTAGGTGGGCTCGTCCGGGATTTGAACCCGGGACCTCTCGCACCCAAAGCGAGAATCATACCCCTAGACCAACGAGCCGCGGTGCTGTCGGTTTTCCCAGCCTCCTTTTGAACTACACTTTTGTGCCAGCAATTGGCCGCCAGGGTGCTCTTGCGTTCTGAGTTTTAGTTTTCTTTCTTTTGGTAACATTTTCTTTCCATCTTGCTTAGTTCTTTCTCCCGTCTTTACCAACTTCCACATTTGACACTGGACCCGTCCCCGCTTATTCTCCTTCCCTCCCACGTCCTGTAAACCTCCGGACCCAGGAGATCAGGGAGATCAGAGAGGCAGCTTTTCAGAATTCAGGCCACACGCTTGAGTTCCACTGAGTCAGGTCCGGGAGGGTCTAACTTCATGCTCGCGCCTGAAGCGAACCAGCTTGGAGCTTCAGGACCGGAGCGGACCTCGATCGCAGGACAGTAGAGTCCTGAGCCCAGGACAGGCGCACCGGGAGTTTTGGACTGGCCTGCTTCTACCCTCGCGTTGGCATAAGATCCTAGAAACAGGACTGGGAGACATCAAAATACCGGGAGCTAGAGTAGGCTGCGGGTGAACAAGTAGGTTGGAAGTGAATCACTTTGTGGCGTTTCCTGATATTGTAGAGCCCCAACAGTCTCCCCGAATATGCACCACGTCCTCCACCTCCCCACCTTTGCTTCAGTTGTTTGATCTTTCTGGAATTCATGCTCCCACTTTCATCCCAACTCATGTCAGATTCTATTTCTCTTTTTCTGTCCTGCTTCAGATGAAAATGTTTTGGTAGAACTATATAAATAAATAATACTTAAGTATCTTAAAACTTCCTTTTCCTCAAAGGACGTGTGTGTGTGTGTGTGTGTGTAGAGTAGGGCAATCACACGGGCGGAAAGTCACAGGAGTTCTTCTGGAAATCAGAATTCTGCAGGAAGCGGGGTACATACACAAACATGCATATCAACAATGTTCTTCTGTACCATCCAGTAGTCTTTCAGTTTTGGACTTCAGGCAAACCAGGATGCACAGAAGTCAAAAGTAGGCCGGCATGGAGGCCTACTTTTACTTGCCTTCAGGTAGACTCACACATTTCTGTACCTCAGAATTGGAGCAAAGGGGCTCAATTTCATTAGTGTGACAAACAGATGTGTACTATTCTCCTAAGCCCATTAGGTCTCCTCAAAGGTTGGAAGACTTCAGATCCGAATACGGGTATTAATCTAGTATCTAGTAGTGTGAATCCAAAAACAGCGCTTTTCCTTCGAGCCGGAATCGAACCAGCGACCTAAGGATGACTACACCGGGACACGCTACAGTCCTCCGCTCTACCAGCTGAGCTATCGAAGGTAGCACAAACGCATCTCTCAAGAACTCCCTGTTCAAGGCATAAACAACCAGAAGCGGGCGCAAGACTATTTTAGAGCATGACCACCGCGATTTGATTTCTCACGGTTTGTGAGAAAGTCATGCGTCTGTGGTTATAGGGACAGCTCTTTTGGAGCTGAATTCTCCTGCTTCACTAAAGGGGCTTGCTGTCCTCCAGGACATGTGCCTTTGTGTGTGGCGAATAGGACCGGCATTCCGTCATCGAAGATCTGAGGACCTAGACATTCCCAGCCCGCCCAGCCGCCAGTCGGACCCGCCTTCCCAGTGCCTCACTTCCGGCGCTTGCAGGGTGCGGCGCGTCGGCTCTGGCGGGCGGTCTCTCCCTGCAGCCGCCACGTCCTCACGCTTGGGGGTGGGAAAAGAATAGAGAAGCGTAAATCTAGTGTTTCTGTGATGATTCGCGTCTGAAGAAAATACATTAAGTTTTTCAAATAGGAAACCACAATTTATTTTTGTCATTATCAAGTTTAGAGACCTAAGTCTCGCACCCAAATTTACCGGCACTTAGTTGTCCCCGATGAGACAGCGAAGGGTCCAAGATCCAGTGATCCTGAACCCTGGCCGGATGGCTCACGCCTTCTGGACGACTGACCTAAACGGCTGTCGCCGGTTTTCTCCCTTTAGGGAAAGATCTTGTTCTCTACTCGAAATCTGCCCAGTGTTTGAGGGCCCCTCTTCTTCCTTGCTCCAGCGCGGGGTACCAGTCGAAGGGTCCACAATGCTGGGGTGTCCGCGGAGGCTGACCGCGCGTCCCGCAGCTTGTAATGGACTCCGCCACACTCCAGTCAGCAGAGCAGGACATGCGCATTCATACATGAACCTAAAAGGAAGAGATTTCCGCTCAGTTGGTGTTCATTCGGGAGCACCAGCAAGTTGGAATTAGCCCATTTTCTTCGTAATGTGGAAGGGAAATTAATGAAGAAAAAAAAAAAGAAACAAGCCCATGAGGCCCCAGCGAGATTTGAACTCGCGACCCCTGGTTTACAAGACCAGTGCTCTAACCCCTGAGCTATAGGGCCTCGCGAGGGCAGGCGTTCCATGTTTCTCAGAAAAGGAACGTGTTGCTGAGCTTCCACTAGACCACGTGAGAATAGAACGCAAAACTTGGATTTCTTTTCACTGCGGGTTCTGGGATTACTGGAAATGGCGCAGTACGGAAGCCAGTGACAGAAACCACCACTATCTTAAGATTGGAGATATGTGCCCAAACTGACACAATAAAAGACATGCACGCACACACACGCACACCTTCAGTTTGTAAAATTAAGAAGGGAAACCCAGCAAAGAGAAATCTGCCACGGTCTCTCCTGAAACTGCAACTTGCACCCTTAGTTTTTTCCTGGACTCAGGATTTACAGGAACCTGCAACAGTCTCTCTACCAAATGCCTTAAAAGTATGAAACTGTTTCACAGCTCCAAGTCAGCGCCAGAGCAAGCAGTCACTAACTCGCTATTTAATTCATCCTTTAAGACAACAAACACTGAATTCCAATACTGTGTTAGGTCTACACTAGGAACTAGAGATGCAGAGATGACTTTTATCCTGAAGTCACTGTCATAATTTTGTGGAATAGAAAAACTATAATTTTCAAGAAACACAGCTGTTTTCCAAGGTGCACAAACTTGCAAAGTGAGCCATCCTTCCTGAGGGATGTTTAGCTGCTGGCTGCATTCTGAGGAGAGGTTGAGATTTACACAAGTTAGGGGCCGGGCAATCCACTATAGAAGAAAATTAGGAGCACAGTCGGAGATAAAGACTGAGGTATTTTAAGGGTCTATGATAGACCACTCTCTGGAGCAGATGCACACTCCCACCCTCTTGAAGTGAGAGTAGGTGAGAAGACAGTTTAATAGAATGAAGTTAGACCCTTTTCAAGAATAGAAGATGGAAACTCTCCAAGCATGGATTGTAGAATAAATTGAAGGGAGGAGAAACCAGAGTCGGCAACACCAAAGGATCAAACCTAAAGAGGCCAAAAGCTAATAGTTATGAGATGGAAAGGAAGGAAAGAATGAGAGATACAGGGAAGAAAGATTCTGCTGAACTTAAATACAAATTACAACAAAGAGGAAAGAGAGAGGACTTTCAGTTTTACCTTGGAGAAGCAAGATGATCTTTGCAGGGAGAAAAGAAAGCCTACTCCTTCAGGGTATGTGGATAGGACAGAAGGGAAGAGGAAGTGCTAGGATTTAGGTAGACTGAATTTGAGGTGAGGATGGAACAATTTGTGGGAATTGTACAACAGAATACTCTTGAGTCTAGAATT